CCGGAGAAAATACGTGTGTTAGATGAGCTTCGTGCAGACATGCGCCATAGCACTGCGGGCCGTGAGTTCCATGTTAATGAATCAACTCTGTGTATTAAATCAGGCGTCTTTACACAGAAACACATATAAAACAAGGTTACACACTGATCCGTCAACGAAGATGCTGCGACCAGAGCCTTGCAGGAGCCTAACCCTGTATGTCCCCTATGGGCGATGGTTCAGTAGTCTCTTGTTCAAGGCGACTTTTAGACCATAACCACTGCAAATATGAGAATCAACCGTGCGTTCACCGAGGAAGCACCGCCCTCAGGAAGTCTTCCTAAAAAAAACACTGGACAATTAATTCCATCCAAATCAGAGGTGACAGGAAACAAAGAGGCTACCGTAAACCTGGCGGTGGGCATTCACCTTGGAAGAGAGACGGAGACACTCCAGTGCTCTGAAGCAGCATGGACATTCAGTGGGATGGATGGTGACCATGTGTGAATGGTTCTACGCCAATAAGAATCAGGAAGTGGGGGAGGAGAGGAGGGTACATGTGTGTGCACGTGCGTGTGTGCGTGTGCAACCAGCTACTTGTTCAACACACTGTGACCTTTGCCCTCCTGGGCTCACAGCCACACTAGGATTTTTAGCCTCTGCAGTCGGGTGCAGCCTCCGGAGGAAGCGAGGGAAGGTGGGGGAGCGATGCGGTCCACGAGTTCTCTCTCTTCCCTCCTTCATCCTCTGGGCAGATACAGAGGACTCCGTGGAGGATTCCAGAGCTCCAGGGAATGGCCCGGCTACTAGACGGAAGGAGCCTGGATCCCTGAATGACCGCGTGGAGCAGAACCTCCACCTCTTCATCCCTGTCCATCCCCAGCGGACCCAGAGGAGAGAAGGAAATAAAATATCTATGTGTTAAGCGCCTGAGCTTTGGAGGTCTGTTTATTACAGCAATTCGCTTAATTTACCCCAAAATACATAAGAAGAGAATGCTCAGCGTCTTAGAGCATTAAGAAAGGAGGGAAAAGACTGTAATCAAAAATGAAAACAAAGAAAGACTCCAGCCTTCTAGAGTTTCACAATCGTTTCTTTTAACTTATAGATTCATTTGGAAACAGTCTCTCTTGTGACAAAAAAATGACTAAAGTTCAGCATTTCCTTCGCTGTCTTTTTCTCCTTTTATATTTAAATCAAACCACTTTCATGATGGTGATTAATTAGCAGTGTCTGTGGTTACCAACCTGTATTTCTATCCGTACATACATCCACCCATTACCTGTAACCCTTTGGAGAGACAGGTCTGGAATGTTCACCAAATGCTAATGACAACCACTTCTGGGGCTGGCATCTGTGCTTTATAAGAATCACATAACTTTTATAGGAGATGTTGAACAACACAGAAGAAAGAACACCTCGACTCCACGCCCACCCCTTGAAAAGCCACGTCTGTGCTGCCAGGGTGGCCCTGCAGCCTGCAGCACTGCCAGATTATTTCTGGGGCACCGGGTCACCCTGAGCTATCCCTAGAAGGTGGAGCCACCTGGCTGACTCCGCTCTCAGACGACAGGTGTCAGCAGTACAGAACTCAGCCCGGGCAGCGCCTATCCTCAGGGAGAGCAGGGCCTGGGGCCAGGCCACCAGCAGAGGTTCCCCACTGGAGCTGCTTACATGAGGGGAGAGGATAGCCCAGCCCTTGGAGGCACTGAACCAACTCATCAGACCCCACAACGCTGGAAGATGGGCCCTGGATGTGCGCAAAGTGGGGTGACACCAGCCAAGTAACATCACCAGCACCAAATGGCCAGTAGGTGGCGCAGCGGGACTGGCTGCCATTTCCTCTGATCCCAGTGTGTGCCCCTTCCCCAGCATGGTCTCTGCCACCACACTCTGCTCTTCAAGTATAAAGAGCCCGCCATCTAAAGCCCGTTGGAGGCTGTCTACACCACCCCACCTCAGCTACTTCATAGATCCAGTCCCACCTCTCCCACTTCCTTTAACCCAACTCTCAAACGAGTAGCGTCCTCACCAAGACCGACAAGACATGGGAAACAGCAATTACGAGAAAGCACAGAAGGAGATGATCCAGAGTCTCACCCAGGTGCCCCTGAGTCCTACTTCTGGGATGGCCACCTGTTCTCTCTGCAGTAGAGGGGCCTTCTCACCAACTGTCCCCCCGTCACCAATTCCCAGTGGACGGCATGTGACATGCTCCCAGCCGGACCTGATGAGGGTCATGACCACACCCACAACGTCTGCCCTGTGCCCCGAGCTCTGTCCTCACCTCCACGTGCTGGGTATGCAGCAGGACAGTGGGACTCAAAACCGCACAAGGCACAAACCCTGCCACGAGTCAGAGAGGCACATGGCAGAGCGACTTACTACCCAGCACGCCCCGGCAGAGTCAACTGAAGGTGGAGGCCCATTCCTTCCTCTTCCATAAACGGGGAGCCCCAAAGGATGGTCACGCTCGCCCCACTCCACCCCACCCCACCCATGCACCTATGGCAGAAAGGGCTGCCCTCTGAGACTCCAGGTCACCTGATCTGGAGAGACAAGACAATTCCCACCACCGGAGGCACCTGCTTGGCCTCTAGAGAGCCTCTCTCAGGGTCACTGGACCTGTCTTAGCCTCCCACGCACGCCCTGGACTCTACCATCCACTCAATGGGACTCCACAGGGAGCTCAAACCCAGCCCAGCCCAGCTGGTCAGGTCCCCCCACCACACCACACCCCACCCCACACCTGGGCCAACCCACCCATTTCCCCACTGTGCCCACCCCAAGCTTCAGCGCTCCTCTTTCACCTGCTGTGCCCTCCCCAGCGTGAAACCCTTCTCGGTCCTTCAAGGCCCAGCTGAAATGGAGCATCTGCAGGGGAGACCCTCAGGTCCTGCTCCCCCTCCTCCCACAAGGACCTGCTCATGCACCTTCACCCCAGAACAACCATCTTCCTCATGTGCAATGCTCGGAGGAGGTTCACCTCCACATCCCCAGCACCTGGTTTAGTGCTTGGCATAAGAGAGATCCTAAATACCTTTCTATTCAGTTTAACACAATTTAATTGAGAAGAAGCAAATACCATGTAGGAAACACGAGGAGATGGAACACACCATCCTCTTGTATAATAAAGACCCTAAATGCCTGGGCTGAACCCCTCTGATGATTTCCTTATGCAGTTAGAGTAGAAGTCAAACTTCCCACCATGGCCTATACAGGCCACTGTCTCTCTAGCTCAGATCTCATCTCCTAACCATCCCCTCAAGCTCCCATTCACCACGCTCCAGCTGTATCACTGGGGGCCTTGGAGGCGCTGTGCCTTAAAGAGCTGGGTAATCTGGCAGCCCTGCAAAGATCACCACCCCATCACCCATCACCCCATCACCCACCACGGCATCACCCATCATCCATCACTCTTCATCCCTCCATACTATCACCCATCACACCATCACCCATAACCCTATCACTCCATCACCCATCACCCACACCCATCACCCCATTACTCCATCACTCTATCACCCACACCCATCACCCCATCACACATTTCCCCATCACCCACAACCATCACCCAACACACCATCACCCATAACCCTATCATTCCATCACCCATGACCTCATCCATCACCCCATCACCCACACTCATCACCCCTCATCTCATCATCCACATCCATCATCCATCTCTCACACCCATCGTTCCATCACCCACACCCATCATCCTATCACCCTATCATCCATCACCCCATCACCCATCACACATCACCCCATCACTCTATCACCCACACCCATTCCCATCACCCTCTCATCCCATCATCATCACCCCATCACTCCGTCACCCACACCCGTCACCCCATCACTGCTGGATTACTTTCTTCACACACTCCCCCCCATACAAAACCTTCCTAGTCACCATGTGTGGCATTCCACACCAGGGCCTCGCTCATCACAGACACCCAAGTAGCTGAGCAAGTGAATGTTAAAAGGACCACACACAACATCACATCGATGTCCCTGAGAATCGCCCGAAACCCCCAGACCAGCAACCCCACCAACCAATCATTTAAGGAGCACCTCGTGTGAATTCAGCCCTTTCATGGGAACCGGGAGAAGTAAGATTTGTAAGCGCTTATCTCTGCTCTGAGCAGTTTCCAATTTCATCAGAAGCCCCGATGGACTTATAGAAGAAAAAACAATCAGGGACCAAGGGAGGAAAGCTTACACGAAATGCTTTCTCAGGGAGTCGAGTCTAAAAGTGCGCCGGGAGAGAGGCGTGAGGTGGTGTGACCTGGGGATGTTCACTCACACATCTTTGGTGATCGATTCAGAGCGTCCACTGCACCAGTGCCATGCACGCAGCCAGGCCCATGACCCCTGCCCTGCTGTGTCTCCATGAGCCAACCCTCCAGGGACACCTGCCAGCAAAGACCCACAGGCACTAGGCAAGTGTGCGGCAGGGGCGGACGCCAGGGGCCACAGGCAAGAAGCCCCCAGAGCTGCAGACGGTGCAACAGAGGATACAGGATCTGGCCCAGACCCTGAGGGACCACCAGGAGTCAGCCAGTGGGCCTTGCGTCCAGCAGAGATTGCATACCCAGGAAGCGGGAATGAGCATGGTGCATCGGGGGCCGGCCGTGACTGAGCCCAGAGCAGTCGGGGGTGAGTCAGGGCCGGCTTGGGTGCTGGGAGCCCCGCTGGCTAATGCGCTCACTGTGTGTGTTTCCTCTGCGAGGCTGGTCTGGGTGCCCTGGAGGCGTGGCCTCCATCCCCGCACGTAGCAGGTGCGCAACGGATGATGTGGACGGAGGCACCAGCAGTATGCTGTGAAGCAGGCAGAGGTACAGCCGGCAGCTGGCAGGGAGGTGGGGGCCGGGGAGGGTTGGGACCAGCGGGAGGGGGCCGGGCAGGGAGCTCGGTGGGGTAGGGGTCGGGGGCAGAACGTGTGGAGGGCCACCAGGACTCGCAGGCACCCCCGACTTCAAGTCACACTTGGTACGGCCCAGAAACGAGCGCGCGGGGCTCACCGTCTGCTGCAGGTCCTGGATGAGGATGCGGATCACCAGCGTGTTGCCCTGGCTCTCCTCCGTCCTGGCGCCGCCCGGCTTCTCCGCTGTGGCCCGGATGGTGTCGTAGATGGTCTCTTCTTTGGAGCTGTCCGACTCCGACCCCGCGGAGGAGTCGGAGCAGCTCTGGGCCATCTCGTCCTCGCTGGACGTCGGGCTGCGCGGCATGGCTGCCTTACGTCTGTAAGGAGGGGGAGAGGGAAAACAACGAGGAGGCGTGAAAATCGAAGAAAGAAGACCCAGGGGCGTGGTGGACACTGGCGCTCGCCTGAGTGCAGGCACAGTGCCACAGTCGTGTGTCGGCGTGGCCGCCGGCAGAGCCACCTGTGTGTGTGACGCGCAGATCTCTGAAGGTGGCGAGAGCCCCACCTCCTCCCCGGAGCCAGAGCCAGGCCCCGGGGGTGGGGGCCCTGGGAGCTCTGCCAGGTGCTGGAAACCCGGCGTTTACAAGGAGCCCTAAGCAGCTGCAGCCGTGACCAGAGCTTATAACCCCCTCGGCTTCAAACACAGCAACGAGAGGAGACATGTAAAAATAGAATCCCTTGGGGCAGGCCGGGCTCAGAGATGAGATAATGTCCAGGCCCAGGAGTGAGCGGAACCCACAGTCGTGAGCAGGCTGAAGCTGGAGACAGGGCTCCCTGAGAGTCCGGGGCAGCTGGGGGTGCAGCTTCCTCACGATCGAGTGCAATAAACGTTCCCCAGCAAAGACCCAGGTCAGGGTGCTGACTGCCACCTTGGGCCACGGCTGTGAGCAAGCACGGGGAACGACACGGAGCATGCCACCCACTGTGACACCCAGGTCTGTGGGCAGGAGTCCAGCAAGGTTAGGATAAAAGCTGGCGTGAACCGGGGGTGCTGGGGAGCTGGTGGGGGACGTGCCAAACCAGCGATTCCACATCCAAGTGAACTCTGTAGAGGGGGTCAAGGCCACGCGCACAAGGAAAGACGCACAGGTTGTTCCCGCAGAAACGGGGCTGTCCTGGGCGACCGGGGACGCAGGCACCCTCGTCGTGCAGGGACTGCCTGGTGAAGGTGTGGCATCTTCTTCCCACGACGGCACAGCTGTGAGAATGAATGAACCCGGCTACACGGAGGATCCCCAAACATAAAACCAAGCGAAAGGAGAGCGATTTGCAGGATGATTCAAACAGCATGGATCATCCAGCGAAGGCTGGAAAGATGCAGTGCTATTTTATAGACGGCACGTGGGCACGTACGGAGGAACGGCGGAGAAGCACACGATGGAAAGATAAACTCTAAACTCTGAGGAGTGGCGGTCTCTGGGGAGGGAGAAAGGGGTTGACAGGGCTTGTAACGTGTGATTTCCTCACAACAGTTCCAGCAAATATGACAGAAAGTCAGCCTTTGACAAAGCTGGGGACACAGATGTGTGCTATATTGTTCTCTATGCTTTTCCTTCTCTGCGTTGGAAATTACTTTGCAGTAGAAGAAGAGAGAAAAGAAGGAGGGAGGGAAGGAGGGAGGAAGGAAGAAGCTCACCCGCCCATCTCCCCCAGGACCCCAGCCCAGCAGGTACCTGGGTGCGTGGCCCCTGCTCTCGTGTTTCATGATGGGGGTTGGAGGGGGGCTCAGAAAGGTCCCAGGTAGGACGCAGTTCACCCATGACAACTCTGCATTGGATTTGGGAAAGCCGACGCCCACCGTTTATTTCCGGAGTTCACGTAACGACAGCAAACACCCCCAGGAAGCATTTCACGGCTCAGCCTGCAGAGTCAGTTCTGGGACACAGCCACCCGGTGCGCTCCTATCCTCCATCCAGACTTCCACGGGGACCCACCGGACACACGGGCATGCGCAAAGCCCAACGGAGCAAAGGAGCCGTTCCAGAAATGCACCCCCTCCACAGAAAATGGCAAGACCAGGACTGGGGTCAGGGGCTCCCTTACCGCCAAGAGGATCCGGGTCGTCCGAGAAGGGGCCAGGGTCCTTTGGCCCAGGCACGCTGTTTTGTTTGACCTGCACAGAGTTTTATACCTTTGCTAACCTGGAGACTTCACACGAAAACCCAGATTCCTGGCTTATTTTGCCCATTGGGAGAATCTGGCGAGGCTGGGGACTGCCACATGGCACCTAGGGGCAGAAGCGAGCTGCGGCTACCTCCTGGCAGGCCCTCTCCAGGTCTTCCTGGAACCACCGAGACTCAGTATCCTCTCATCTTCCGCCTGCCAGGCTCGCTCACTGGCAATACCTTCCTGGCCCCCAGGCTGTGAGTTTGAGAGCCTGACGACTGACCCATCCATTCATTCACGCTGGCCTCCTTCTACGCCTCTGCCTCCCCTCCTTCAGGCCACCCCGTGGGCGAGTCACTGGGCCGGTTAAAAGCCTCAAGGGGAAGATCATCCAAATCACCCAGGAAGATTTCATTTTTTTAATTAAAAATTCCAAAGTTCACCTCAGTGTAACTCTGAATTAAAATTTCAGGGCAAATGGGTATTCCTGTATTCACCGACCAAATGCCTTTGTAACTTCAGGTCAATGTTTTCCCAACCACAGAAGTGCAAAATCTGGCGAGGGAAGAGAGAGCTGTGGCCACGGACGGGATCTGGGTATTCCCGGTTCCCCCTGAGCGAGGAGCCAGTCTCCTGCAACTTCTAGCAACGCATTCATTCATGCATGTGCTCATTTACCATCTACGCGGGAAGAAATGAGCGCCTGGCGTAATTATACAGTGTATAGTATTTATACACTATGTACTATATGATACAGTTATAATTATAACATAGAAGTAATAGTATATTATTATAACTATTATAATATATTATATACAATTATGTCTGAGTAATTTATGATAACATTATTTTATAATAAATAACATAAATATAGATTATATAAATATATATAACCATATAATATATGGGAGTAATTATTTCTAACTGTGTCCCAGGTTCCACTGAAGCGTATCCAGTAGGACACTGGTTCTTCATTCTGGCTGTACCGGGAAGTTACTTGGGGATCTTTAACAGGTCTGGGTGAGGCCCCAGTGTCGATACAGTCTTTGAAAGCCCCCACGGCGACTGTAATGAGAATCGCAGCTCCAGGTTCGCCTTGAGCGGAGTCCGTGGCTGTAATTGCAGAACTCGGCAGCAGCACAAACATGCAGAGGTTGCAGCCAGCCTTCTCCTGGAGGTGAGGGCAGTGTCCTGGTGCTGCGGGGCCAGCGGGCGGGGTGTGGCTTCATCGCCTCAGTGCCAGGATGGACACAGGTGTGGGGTCTTGCCACTGTGGGGTCCGGAGGCTTCTTTCTGCCCTGACAGGTAAGTCAGCTCAGAGTAGCTTCTGCTTCTTTGCCTCCTCACGCCCCGCCTGTGCTGCTTCCAAACCCCACAGGGACAAAGAGAAAGCAGATGGAGGGAGAGGACGAAATGCACCATCACATTCATGGGGGCGGCGGGGGGAATCGCTATCTATGCGGAGTAGCGGCCGTTGGGTTTATGGGAAGCCGGGCACAGGCGGAGGCAGGAATGTCTGATGATGAGGCGGTTCCAGGCACGCCCGCCGCCCCGCCAGCATTCCTACGCAAGGTGAACTTCGCCCCAGATAGCTCGGGAGCTTTGGGGCTGCGAGGGCCTCAGTGTCAGCATCTGAAAAATGGGCGTGTGGAGAGCCCCAGCCAAGACTGGCACAGAGCAGACACTGCGCATGCCTGTCCTTGCCAGGTCCTGGCCCCACATCGAATTCAGTCAAGATTGCAAGAATCCCGCCCGCTTGTGAGAGCAGGCGAGATGCTCTGGAGCCCTCAGCTTACGCCCTTGGGGGCACACAGAGGAAGCCTCCCTCCAATGCATTCCAGCCCCAGCTTCCCAAAAGAGCACCCACGGCTTAAAATTTTAAAAAACCAAACAATTGCACCCCACCATCTACTTCTGGCCTGGTTTCTTTCCTCCAAAGCCCTCCTTAGCCCCTGCTGTGTGTCCTACCTCACACGTTCTTCTGGTTTATGCAGCATTCAGCCTCCAGGCGCACAGGGGCTGTGTCTGTTCATTCCCAGCGTCTGGAACACAGCGGACACTCAGTGAACACGTCCCCGGAGGAGACCAGGGCTCCCGAACGCAAAAACCCAGAGGAGCCAGCCCGACGCAGGGGAGTGGGCAGAGTGTGGGCTGAGGCCAAAGGGGCCGGACCACACGCCCCAAGTCCGCCAGGCGGCCGCGTTTAAACTCCCGCTACTGCTGGTCTGCGGGAGCTCGGCCCCGTGTTCCCAGATCTGCAGGTAGTCTCCAGGCAGGTCAGAGTTCAGGCAGCAACTTGGAATGAATCAGTGTTGGGAATTCATTGTTTTCAATCATCACTTTGCAGGCCACACACAGCACGTCTACAGCTGGACCCACCAGGCTGGTGACCCGTCGTGAACACACAGATCTGAATTTTAAAGTGTGTACAACCCCCAGGGTCTTCTTTCCGAAAAAAAGGTGTGTGGGCACTGTTGAGGATGTTTGTGCCAGGCTAAAAGCAAATCGAACTCTAGAAACAAAACTGACCACCCAAAGAGGAAGGTCGGGGGGGGGCCCTGTGACCGCAGCTCCTCCTGTCCCCCGGCCACAATGACACCCACCCTTGCCACTCGCATTGGCTTGGGGGTGACGGTCACAAACGGACACATCTGTTCCCAAAGCTGTGGTGCAGAAGCCCACGTTGGATGGGTCTGGAGAGGGGCCGGGACCGCGTCCAGAAGCAGAAAAGGCGGCCGCCTGCACCCCGGCAGTTCTTTCCAGGACCGCCCTGGGCCAGAGCAGGAGGGTCTGGACCTTAACAAGGGGCTTGAATAACGTGATCAGCAGATCCATGGGAAAAGCAAACACCTGGGGAAACGTGTAATTATTAACTCCGGGTAGGACGGCCAGGTAACACAGGGCGCCCGGTTACCTGGGCATTTCGGACCAACAACCAATATGTCTGACTCTAAGTATTTCCCAAATACTGCACGGGACGTACTTACACTACAAAGTTATTCGTTGTTCATCTGAAATTCAAACAGGGGTGGGCGTCCTGCCTTTCACCCAGGGGGGCCGTGGAGGCCGGAGGGGCTATATCAGATCTCTAACCCATCCTCACAAGGGGCGGGGGAGGCTCCGCAGAGAGTGAAGGGAAGGAAAGACTAGAATGCCATCTGAAAACCAGTTTCCTAGGAAAACTCAGGACCAGGACAGGGGAGGGATAGTT